TGTATGCGTGTGTGTGTGTGTATGTGTGTCTGTATGCGTGTGTGTGTATGTATGCCTGTGTGTGCGTACGTGCCTGTGTGTGTGTGTGTGTGCGTGTTTCTTGTGTAAGCTGAAAGACGCGAAAAATTATTGAAATATCTATTGCTCCAAGGGTTCAGGGGATCTCGTAGTCGAGCAGTCTCGACTAGAGCTTTCTTACTTGTTTTCTATGTTCTACACTGCATACTCTGCATTCTTTGTACTTTAATAAAGGAAGCAACATTTAACTGTTTGTCAACTTTGACAGGAGCTCAAGTAATCAAGTTTATTTCTAGAAAGAACGACGCGTAATCCTCCCTCCTTATATCTATCATCATGAAAATTGATATACATATATTTAGATCTAAGTGAAATCACTGCTTGTCAACATTGAAAGCAGTTTGACTGAATTATCGGTTCCTCTTCTTCTTCTCCCACCAAGTGTTTCATCTGTTAAACAACAGCAAGTTGTGAACTTTAAGCGAATTGGCGCACGAATCCGTTGAATTTACTGCATTTGTCGCAGTGTCAAAGTGCTAGCTATACGTAAACTTTCGGGAGCACGTGGCTGTTAAAAATGCGCTGCCTGTTTGAACAGTTAAGAATCGATAAGCATTGGGCATGATAACCGATAACAGCGCAGCCTTGTGACGTAACAGCACCCAACGGAAGTAAAAACAACAAACAGTTTCCATGTGCAAGATTATTTTATTTTATACACGTTCAGCAAGCGAATATAGAGCATATTAGTTTGATGTGATACACATACATATATAACTAACTGGCAGCTTGTTTGTTAAGGTAACTTTTGACTACCGGAATGAAATGCAAGACAAGAGACTGGAAACTTTGGTCCATCTACCAAGTGAAGATCTAAGAAATTGAGGAAAGTTTCATGGAATTCAGAATATTCATATACTTGGACAATATATTATATTATAGAGTAGGTATAGCTATACCTATTGGAATATAACATATCCACAGATTGTTAAGAAAGAAGTTTTTCGAATGATTGCTTCTTCATTTCTTTTTCTTGCTCTTCTGATTCGTCATATTTTCTTCTTCTTCTATATACAATCAAAAAGATATATCTTTAAGTACAGATCTCGTTTCCATTTTCCATTGTTTAAACACGCCTACTTCGGGCGTGGCACAAATCCCATTAGCTTGATCTCGTTTATCTCCTCTGAGAATCATTCACAAGTATATATAACTACGCCTATTATAGGCGTGTCAAATCGCATTAGCCCCAAATTTTGTTCCTCAACTCATAAATCATTGCTGACCCACATAACAGATAGATCTGCATGGAATGTGATGAAATGATGATATTGATTGCTGTATCTATTGAACCGTTCATGGGCGAGTATTATGCAAGCCTTTTTATCCGATTCTCATTCTTTCGAACTGACTTTAGTTCGGTATATCGGCCCAGGCGTTTGGCGTTATCAATGGAGCTTGCCTTATCGCCAAGGCGAACAACGTCACCAATTACAAAAACATAAAAATCCGAATGAAAAATCCAAGAGATATTTCAATTTCCATGCCAGAGAATTTAATTAAACATAGATATTGAATTATGTTTATTCGAGCAATCGGCAATAGTCCTCAGTCGCGCCTCTCACACACAATTTACAATTTACAATTGAGCTGCAGCTGGAAGGCAAGCATAATTATAATTATACTCGCTCAAGGCAATGTGAAGAGGTATATTGTTTGAGGTGTTACGATGATTTACTATATTCTATATCTGTATAGTACTATATTAACTATTGAATAGTAAAACTAGGAATTTCATTTATATTGTATATAGTCGAGTATGCTTGGATCTCCCATAGAAAAGTCTTTAATAGAAATATCTATAAGAGGTAAAACCTATTTTATTCATAGCTCTCAAGATAGACGCAGACGATTTAAGGATAAGTCAACAGAATATTATAATAATACATATAGACATCTTGGGTTGTTATTGAGTTCCACATCTGATATTATTATTGGTATTCTCCAATAAATAATAAATATTTATGTCTTTATATACATATACCTACATATCAAGCATGAACATGGGATATACAATTATTTTCAACGTCAATGCAATCGTTTTGACGTTGAGGATACTGGGTGATATACATATATCTATATTACATACATATCCATATATCTATATATTATTTATATGCATATATCTGTATATCTATATATAGATAGGTTATATAAACCCATATAAACTGGGCCCTATAACTTCTTGGAGCTTAGTGAGATGAACGAGCATTATGCAGTCAGACATTCTCCATAGCAAAATTCCTACGTATGGGCTGATGACTCAGTCCAAATATGGGTTCACTATGACAAACTATATGTACATATGTGTATATATTAATATATATGGCCTGGCTATATGGCGCTTAGGGTGCAGGGTACAATTTCTGTTCACCTGCTCGGCATTGGGTGTAATAAATAAATGTTGAGATAACTTTTGTCACATTTACTATATACAAACAGATAAACCTACACATACATATATCTATTGTTCTATATATATAAAAATATCTCTGTGGATATTTGTATTTGTTTGGATTGCGTATTGATTCATGTAGATGCAATTTCAATGTTTGATTTGATTTGCTTTGAGCTTAATTTGTTTGTAATCAGATCTCCGAGCCGTGAATAACATTTGATGAGTGTGAATGTGCAATTTGTTGTCTGTTGATGGCTCATTCATAAAGCGAGTAATTCAAGTCCCATCAAATTGTCATTAAATAGTTTACTGTTCATATTGCTTAATTGATTTGAAGCTATTCGAATGCATGAGAATTGAGAATTGAGAATGATATCGTAAGTAAAGCTGAGCTACGAATTTAATGAATTCCTTTTTCCTGGCTTAGATAGAGTTATCTAGGTTCAAGTTCCTTGAGCTAGTAATCAACTATTCAAATAATTGAATCAACTTATTTGACGGCATTCAAATGTTTCAGGTGATTCGAATATGAATCTGATGAATGTTGTTGCATATATCCATATACTCGCCAGTTATATGTGTAGATAAATCTATATATATGTAGATATAGTGCATATACATATATCTGTGCCTCAATCTCAGCTCGTTTTCAATCGGGCACAGCGATCCAAGTGGGCAATGTGAATTGCATTGGATTTGACAAATCTTAATTGAAAGAAGTGCGCAGGCGGTGCTAGAATTGTTACAGATCGGCTAGATGAGATGATATTTGTGTTTTTGTTTGCCTTGTTGTTGTAGTTACTATTGTTATTGTTGTTGTTGTTGTAGTGTCTAGCTGTAAATGGTGGAACGCTGGGTCGACGCTGTCTCGCGCTTATGACAATTAATTGAGCGCGTTATTGTGCACTATATAGATGCAAATAAACAAATACAAACACACGCACACATACACAACACATATGCATATATGCACACATATATATATTTCTAAAAATATGTCTAGGTATTTGCTATATGTATAGCAGCATGTGAGAGCCTTAAGCCGGAAATGCGACGCGCTTTTCAATTAAGGCAACTGGCAAAAGTGCTCTAAGCGGGCATGCACGACTAGCAGTTACTCTGCCATTGCACACAACAATATAATTCACTTTACTAAAGACGGAAGTCTTGACTCTAGCCCTTGCAACTGTGTGTTGAAAGTTAGATAGAAAGCACAGAAATATAAGGAGTTATTATTATTATTTAGTTACTATTCTCTCTTGCTCAAGAGCATATTTCATGGATATATTTATATTTGGATATATCTAACTATATACATATATAGTCGAGTCCCGATAATTCGAAATGACATGGGGATCATTTTTTTCGATTTACACAGAAATTCAAATTATCGAGTATTATCGGAACGAATATCGCCTTGCGATAGATTTTTTTTTTTTCGATTTATCGCCATTTACGATTTAGCAGGGTACAAATCATCAAGACTCAACTGTATATATTTATATATAGTTTTATGGTTTCTGTTGTTTTTGAATATGGAACTATTCAGGGCATCTGTCCATCACAGGGTTTGCATCTGAACGGCTTTGAAGTTGAAGTGAAAGTTGATTAATAAAGATTTTCGTAAATCCAGCTTCCATCCTAGAGCATTTCTTTGATTTTAATCGAACTACACAGACTAAGTTGCAAAGTTTGCTTCACAAGAGAATTGTCCAATATATATATCATGCCATCTATCTATTCACTTCCAATATGATCTCACGAATCAATTGAGCTATAAAAATTCATTAACTAATGATCTACCGTGATTTGTGACTATCAACGATCAGCTGATCGATTGTGACTATTCGAATGCGTCGAGCGTACTTTCCAATCCAAATATATGTGTGTCAAAGCCCTGGGGCTGATCTAATTGATAGCTGATAAATATAGTATATATATATTTATTTATTATTATTTATAGACATATACTGCGCTACTGGGACGCTGATAAGTCCTACAATCTATTGCCATTGAACTGATACAAAGCAAACAAAAATGAAGTGGAAATAGAAAAGGCGCAAGAGCGGTGGGATTCTCAATTTTCGTTTCTTCAATTTCAACGTTTCTTGATCTCCTGGTGCATGCCAGCCGAGGCCATATACTTGTCGAATAGATAATCCCCGATATCGCTCTTGGCACGCTCCAATTGGCGTATGAAGTCGGCCAATACCTTTTGACCATCGACTTGCTCCTGCAGAAAGTTGGCCTCTATGAAATCGCATAGGTTCGGATCGTTTTCCTTGCCGGCCAGCGCATGCACATCCAACAGATGCTGATTCACCTCCAATTCCATTTGGAGCGCATACTTAAGTGCACCCAGCGCATCCCCAAACTCGGCCAACGGCTCTGGCACTGTGCTCAAACGTATTAGACCGCCGCGTTTATTCATATACTTCATGATCAGCTCGGCATGATCGCGCTCCTCCATGCTGGCCTTCAGAAAGAAGCTATGGATGCCCGGTGAGCTGACGTCGGCTCGATCGAAGTGATATGCCTATGATGTGACTCTAAATTATTATTCAGATCATTTCAACGAAATCTATGGAAGCCATAGACATTATTTCGATATTTCCATATTGACTACAGATATATCGATCTTCATATATAAGATTTATACAATCTATGGACATATATATAGAATCGTATCTATCTAGATTACAACATTATCTTAATATAGCTCTACTTATTGGGTTACTCTGTAAACAATTTATCCATATCCATTTGGCTATGGAGATATCTTAGGCTTATCTATATTTTCATATCTCAATAACGCTATCTATATCACATAGTAATCTTATATATCAGTTATATACAGATTGGCCTATTTACAACTATCACTTTGTATAGCTTTTTATCTGTTTCATTCTAATATTACCATAGCTAAATATTGATGGCAGGCCTTTAGCTCCAGATTGATCTGATCATTCAATTTGTCTTCGCAGCTTTTGGCAAAATTTTGTCGCATTATCATGCAAAATCGACGCAATATCTGAGCACAATTTTTCGACATATCTGTGCGAATCACAGCTTTTCCAATGGACGGCAAGAAACCAATGAACAAGTTTTGAAACATTAACCGAAATTTTCTAAACAAACAATTTCTATTAATTTTCAAACTGAATTTTGGCTGCCAGGCAACTACAACAGTTTGCGTAACTAAATCTTTGTAGAGTCTTAAAAGCTATATATGCTTTATAAGTGCTAAGAGTTTATTGAAAAAGAAGAAGTGGAATGGAGATTCTAGCACTTAGAACTATTAAATGGTACATGTATATCTGAGATCACATTCTTTATTTACATCTCAGAGATTATTAAAGCAAACAACGCGAAATATTATTATTACAATTTACTTAAGAAACTATAAAGTAGATCGAGAAATGTTTTTTTTAAGATATACAAAAGGTCTAAGAAAATATTATATATAAGAGTTTATCAATGAAATGTTCATGCTCTATTATACAATTCAAATATGGCATTACTAAAAGATTATAATACTAATATATGTATAGGATATAGAGTAACTTATTCCACACCTCGTATAACCTACTTAGGGCTAAACTATCCTATATTATAAAAATATATACTATATTATATAAATCCACCGATCACATGAAAGATTCATTTGGTTAAGGCATGCGGGTCGGGTCACTCGGTTCAAAGTGCGCAGACGAACAAATGTGATTTCACTTCTTTTGCTTTTTTTTTCGTGTCAATGGAGCACTTAGTCTATGTACACACACTCACACATAACCCATGTTATATGTTTGCTTAGACAACAACAACAACAACAAGCAGACATGATGTTAAGTAAACTCGAGTTATTGTCATTTACTTGTATTAAGTGAGTGGAAAACGACTTTTGCTCAACTTTTGTTGAATACCCTGTCGGCGAGTGCAAATAGAGTATACATACGTGGAATTTATGTTATATACGTTTTTAGCATTGATCATTAACAATAGCCCAAGTGGCTTAGTAGATCTTTTGGAAGATCGGTAAGATAAAGAGAGTTAGAACACAAAGGTCCTTGTAAGATAAATTCTTTTTTTTATCGAACTCGTTCTACTGAGCCATGAAATCGATTAAAATCGATCAACAATTTCAGATAGTGTTTCCAGAGCTATAAGTATGGGGTTATAAGATAGGGTTGCAATAGTACTCTTTATATAAATTGTTGATATAGTAAGTTATAACTAGATATAGTTAGGATATCTAATAGTCGTGCCAGTCTTATTTTTTGTATTTTTGCTTTATGCGAACGAGTTCCGAACATTATCTTTTGCTCGTGTCATATCCACTAAGTAACTTACGCACATTAAACAAAAAATTGTATTAATAAGCTCACAGGCAGAGTGAGAGAGAGAATCATTGGTCTTTTCAGTCGAAATAATAAACATTATTTCGAGGTACGTGAAGCGCAAATCATCAAAAGCACATAAAAAAGTGCTCAAGATTGACTTAACAAACCCTAAAATAGATGCGCGTTATACAACACTGAAGAAACTGCAAGCAGTTCGTTCCGCTCGATTTTTGTTAAGTATAAATTAAATAAGTTCTGGCCATAAATATGGAGCTTACAGATTCAAAACGGAAACTTGAATTTTTAAAAACATTTTTTGGCAATAAAATAACTGTTCTGTTATGCTATTAACATGTATTGGATCACATGTTTCCGCTAGCTAAGTTTCATTTTCATTTATAAACAAATCATATATTAAATATTTATATATCCATCACTTGCTCTTTGGCGTTTATGATCTTTAGGAGAAGTGCGAAAAATATTTTTGCCCACTTTATAAATTATCGCTGATTGATTTCAGACAAAAAATAATAAAAGGCCTGCGAAAAAAAATATTTAATTTTTCGTTTTTATTTTATCAAGTTTTTTTTTCACGTCAATCGCTTAATTAAAACGCAAACGTTTGCATTGTTAGCTTAATATAAATATATCTGTACTCCATATAAACGGCAAGGCATTGACATTACCACTCATCAAATACCCTTACAATTTTTAATTGTAAATTAAACAATTCATTTAAAAATTAAAATCAAAATTTTTTAATACACTCAAATTGTAACATTCCATATTATTGAAATTTCATTTTATTAACATGCTTGTGTTATACGCATCTACCAATTGTAATCTATATTTCCATATGACTTAATTTCTTATCTCCTCCACCCACACATACATACATACATATGTATATGCATATTAACATAACATCCAATTAGAATTGGTCACTCCATGTTAACGTGGCACATACATTAGCATAGTTAAAAGATTTTATTTTCCCTTTACATAAAATATGATATGATATCAAAGAGAGCATTTAACAAAAATCATGATCGATTTTCGTATTTTTTTTTTTTTTTTGCCATGTTGCTGGCATTTAATTCAATAAATTTTGCTGCGCTCGATTTACATACATACATGTGTATACACATAAGTAAATTGGCAAATGTATGTGCACTACATACATATGTATACATACATAGCTACATTGTATGTCTGTATGTATTCATGTTGTTATGGCATGATGCATGTATCAGCTATCGGTTATTTACCTAGCTCTGGTTTATAAGTGAAATGCGTTTATTTATTTAAATGTAATTTATGCGCGCGCCAGTGGAATTTTTGTTCATCGCATGTTCTTTTTGAATTTCGATTTTTTGTTGCTGGTCAAATTAATTTTGCAAGGAATGCAGTAATTTGCGCTCATTGTAATTGCCAAAATATAACTGTTATCGTGTAACATGATAGTGAATCAGCGTGTGTGTGTGTGTGTGTGTATGTCTGCGCATTAACAGTGTAGTATCCGTTAAGCATGCAGCGCATTTACAGTGAACATCAAACTGTTGCTGGTGCTCCAGACACACACAAGCACCGGGTGCTAATTGTTGAGAAGTGTTTCTTAGTTCTGTTTTCATTCTAAAATTAAACTGAGCGGCTGCAAAGTGGTTGCTGACTTCTTGGACTTGTTGATCTTGCCTTCTTCATACGGCAAATGCCGCACGAACATGTACGGATGATAACGGCAATTGAACCCCAAAATAATGAAAAGTGACGTCTGCGCTAACGCTAGCGACACATACACAAACACATAGACTTACACACTTATGCATACATAAGTATGTGTGTGATGCATATGCCTGCCCGAAATGAGGTGGTAGGCGAATTACGAAAGCGAATGCGATAAGCAAGAAGGTCAATAAATTGCTTGCCATGTGCACAAATACGAGCAAACAAGCAGAGACACACACGCACACTAAAACGCGCGCGCATATGCAAACACATAAGACTAGAGATGGACACGTGTTTGCGTTTCCAACAGGAGCAGCTGTAGCATTTTTGAAACACGAAGCAGCTGCTAATGCTTCGCACTTACATTTTTATTAATAAATCTAATATATGGTTCCCATTAAGTACTTTAAGCATTTTTTAAATGAGGTTTTTATAACGCGTGCTGAGCAATATGATCGATTCGTGCCCAAGTCACGACACGTGCTCAGCTCTGGGGAGGACACGATTGGCCCTCTCTTTGCTTGACACGCTTTGATTGGCGCGTGGACCACGTGCGGAAACGCTCTTATATTACGAAGAGGGAGAGATAGAGCGAGAATGGCAATGAGTATATAGACAGCAAGCGTGCGGAGCAAGAGCGCAATATTGATCTAAATTATACATGTATGTATGTATGTATGTATAGATTTTTCTTTGAGACTTACCGGCTTTTTGGCCGCCAGCGGCTTATTGATCAAATTTAAATGTGGCTCAAAGTCCTGGCCGAAGCGTTCGATTAGCAAATTTTCGGCAGCCTCCTGCGGGCATTCTTCCTGCTGCACCAGCTCCCAAATGTCCTGCGGTATATAACAGCTGAGCACCAGGCCCAGCAGCAGCCCGATCACAAAATAATGATTGCGACTCAACGCGGACGGTCTACGCATCTTTCAGGCGTATCGCAAATTGAATTCACACACACATACATGCATACATGCATATGTACAGATAGGATGCTGATGCTGCTGCACAATGGCACTGTTGTCATGTGTTCATCGTTGCTGTTGTTGCTTTTATACGCACAATTGGTTCTCCTTCTTTTGTTTAGTTTCGAGTGATTTGGTATGCCCTTCTTCTTGTTCGTTGTATATATATTTTTTTTTTTTTTTTGGCGGAAGCGATAAGCAGTCAGAGAACTCAAACAAGTGCGCTGACTGTGCCGGCTAATTTTGGCATTAGTTATGCGTTGTTGTTGTTATTATTATGATTGTTGGACGCACTTGCGTTTCGTTGCTGTCGCTGTTGTTACTAAAGCCGTTGCTTGGATTTGGCGCATTTTCAAAACAAATTCACAGCTACACAAGCGATCATTATATATACACACTTAACACCAGACACTGCACACATTGATTCGTATCGAGACGTTAATGGTACGAAATGCTTTTGAAAAAAAAAAGAAGTTGAACAAGCGCAAACAAGCGCCGCCTGGCCGCCGCACACCGCGTAATGTAAAAAAATGGGATCTTTCTATCTTCAGTTGCTTTTGCACATTTAGCAGCGACTCGTTTGCTGTTAGCCGACTGTTACTATCACCTGCTAACTGGCTGTTCGACTAACGCTCCGAGAATTCGCTAACTGGCTCTTCTGTTAATGTGATCTGTTTTAAATTGGTATGCTGCCCACAGCTGATGTGAAGCGAGCAAAACTTGCTGATAGATAAAATGAAATTTAAATATTTGTCAGATAAGCCTAACAGTCTAAACACTAATAAAATTAAACATAATTTAATATGTATATAGTTTAATTCATTCCGACAATTTTACAATATATCGCTTGCATTATTTACTACACACACAGCGTACTTGTCTCAGGTCCCCTAACATAGCCGCTTGTATTAACATTATGCTCATTTTCGCGTTAACAGTGCTTTTGTCACTTTGCGCAGCTGTTATCTCAGTTTTGCGTTGTTATTTTTGGTGCGTTCGCGTTTGCATTGTTGACATTGGCAAAAATAGGAAAAATTAAAAAAAAAAATTGCCATGGCCGGCATGGCTGTGATTGTCTTGGATAATGGCGCGTATACAGCCAAGGTGGGACTCGCCACACAGGACGAGCCCCAGGTGGTGCCCAATTGCATCATGAAGGCGAAGAGCGAAAGGCGTCGGGCATTTGTGGGAAACCAAATCGACGAATGCCGCGACACCTCAGCCCTATTCTACATCCTGGCCTTCCAGCGTGGCTACCTTCTTAATTGGGACACTCAGAAGACCGTGTGGGACTACATCTTCAGCAAGGAGGGCATTGGCTGTACCCTGGAAAATCGTAACATTGTCATCACCGAACCCCAAATGAATTTCCAGAGCGTCCAGGAGGCAATGCTCGAGATGCTCTTCGAGGAGTATCGCGTGGCCGGGATGTACAAGACAACTGCCGCGGACTTGGCTGCGTTTAACTATGTAACAGATAGCGAGGAGCGGACCACAATGCAATCGCTGAACTGCATCATCATTGATGTTGGCTACAGCTTTACGCACATTGTGCCCTTTGTGCTGGGCCGACGTGTCCTGGAGGCGATCCGGCGCATTGATGTCGGCGGCAAAGCGCTAACGAATCATCTCAAGGAGCTCATCTCGTATCGTCATCTGAATGTTATGGATGAGAGCCATGTGGTGAACCAAATCAAGGAGGATGTTTGCTTTGTTGCCGAGGACTTTAAGGACGCGATGAGCGTACATCATTGTGAGAAGCGTCGCAAAGAGATCGCCGTAGAATATGTCCTGCCCGATTTTACGACTGTGAAACGCGGCTACATCCGTGTGCCGGGACATCCCCGTCCCGACGAGGATCAACAGCAAATGGTGCCACTGTGCAATGAACGCTTTACTGTGCCAGAGCTGCTCTTCAATCCCTCGGATATTGGCATTCCACAAGTGGGCATACCAGAGGCTGTGGCCGATGCCCTCCGTTCCTGTCCCTGGCAGGCGCATCGCGAACTTTTACTCAACATTCTCATTGTGGGCGGCAGTGCACAGTTTCCCGGTTTCCTGCCACGCCTCAAACGCGATTTGCGGGCCCTTGTTCCGGACGACCTGGAGGTCTCGCTCATTTGCCCAGAGGATCCAGTGCGATATGCTTGGCATGGCGGACGCGAAGTGGCCACCAGTCCAAATTTCGATGAATTCATCTATACGCGAGATGATTACGAAGAGTTTGGCATTCATGGACTGCAGCACCGTTAAGCATTAAGGCTAACCAAGCACTCACCCACCCACATCTCCCATTGATTAGGTTTATAGCAATTAATTGTACAGCTCAATATGTGTCTCTCATTCATCGGCATGCGTGTGTGCCATGAAATTATTGTATTATTCACACAAATCCATCGTGCTTATTATACAAACATACATACATACATATATAACTCAAAAAAGTTTTTTATTTGTCAAGCGCTTCCCAAAATTCCGTTGCACTCTCAACAAGCGATGACAGCTGACTGCCATAAAGTCTAGTGTGATCGAGTGAGGTRGACGATGCTCGCCCAATGTACCGTTCTTTTTTGTTTTGCTTACTCTCGCTGCTCTCGCAAAAGAATGCGTGTGTATGTACATCTGTATGTGTATATACGAATGCATAAGCAGCAGGACTTGAATTTGTGTGCGAAAAGTATTTCAGCACTGCTCAAGAGTTTGCCACGCTCATTTCATTGTGGATCATGGTATTTTTAGAAAGGGTAACAAGATGTTACTTTCAACTTTACGGTTGGTACAGCTGCATGCATGCTCACGCACACACTCTGGCAGCCGCTTACACGTGTATTAGCATTAGTGTGGCTGTGTGCGTCTGGTTGCATAGCGCAAGAAAATAAACAAAATTCCATTACAATCAATGCCTAGACAGAAAGAGATAGAGAGATATACTTATCAGCTACTTAGTTAAGGTCATTAATATTAACAATTTCATTTCATCTGTTTGTTTTTGTTTATTGTATTTTTTTTTTTTTTTTATAATTTTATATTTGAGCTACATACTTGCTATGTACATACGAATATGTTGTTTTACGCTAAAAACAATGTTCGTTTTTAATGATTACAACTAAATTTCGTAGCTACAGAAAACAAACTTAAACATATTTTGCAACAGTTTCTCGCTGGCTCATCAAGCTGCAACATTATTTGAGTGTTGCAGCTTAAGTATATTGCAGACGATTGATAATTGAAATAACAACAAGCTCTAAACTCTACATAAACTTAGATAATTTAGGTTTTTTTGCGAGGCGGGTTGCGATTCCGTAGTTAGAGAAGGAAATGAGTGCAAAACGCTTTACATGCTAAACGATTCACCGCAGCCACACGTGCCCTTTATATTTGGATTGTTGAAGACGAATTCGCTGGATAGCTTCGATTCGACAAAGTCCATTTCTGTGCCTGTAACAGAAAAGCATTTTTATTATATCTATTAGATTGATTATATAATGTTTCTGATTTACCCAGCAATGAGAGTTGAGCCTTCTTATCAATAAACACCTTCACGCCATCCTGCACAACCTCCTCGTCCAATTTATCTGTGGGAAAAATCAATTCGAGTAAGTCACATGTCAAGTATAGAACATGATTTATGGACTACCTTTGGTGCTGGCATAGTCTAGGGTATATGACAGTCCATTGCAGCCGCGCTGCCGCACGCCAACCTTGAGGCCGATCTGTCCAGGCAAATGGAAATGGAAAACATATTGATATTGTTTCTAGATAAATCGACCCAATGACTTACCACATCTGGCTTGTTCTGCAGCAGCGATTTGATGCGATTCACTGCAGCGGGCGTCTGTTAAAGTGGACATCACCACAACAACAAAAACAAATATTGATCAATTCTATTCCGACTGTTATTTCATCAGTTTTGTATTTTATCAGCACTTACCAGCGTTAATGCGGCACGAGTTGGTATTAGCTTGCGTCCCTTAACTGCGCGAACCGTTGCCGTTGCCACAACACGTGTTGCCATTTTTGTTCTAGATTTATATAATTTGTTTTTTTTTTTTTTTTGCTTACAATTTCAACAATTTCTGTGCTTTACGAAAAGTGTTAACAAACTTGGAAATTATGATTTTGTTAGTGCTGTCAAACACCTAGGAACTATCGATAACAAACAGCTGTTCACAATCGATAAGAATTTAGTACTTCCAGTATGTTGTAAATGGCGTTTTTTTGCTTACAATTTCAACAATTTCTGTGCTTTACGAAAAGTGTTAATAAACTTGGAAATTATGATTTTGTCAGTGCTGTCAAACGCCTAGGAACTATCGCCAACAAACAGCTGTTCACAATCGATAATAATTTAGTACTTCCAGTATGTTGTAAATGGCACTCTTAGTATTTTATTTAAATGTGCGGGCAATATATACAATATGCCAACTGAAGTACGCTTACAAATGTAAAGATTATTAAATCTGGATTTATAATGTTTGTTATTGAATCGACAAAATTAAAACCAAATTTTTACATAATGTCTTAATTTTGCTAGCAAAGATACTACATTTCTTTGCCATTGCCAGCTATCGATTATTTTTACAGCTATCGGCAACCTAAGCACATTTCAAATTTATAAAACTAAGCTCAATCGAGAAAAAGCGCAAATTTATATGTATTTATCTTTATTATACAGAGAAGGAAAAAAAAAGATTAACATAAGATTGCAGTAGAAAGTGAGACAAAAAAGATGCTATTGCGAGCTGCGGTGCTTGGCTCAAATCTCAGGATAGGCACTGCCAATGAGGCTCTTGCCCCTGTAGCGCCACGAATAGGTGACAATACCAAACTTGCTGTTGCCCAAAGACACGGGACAGGTGCGATCCGGACGCAACTGGAAGCAGACCGTGTACAGAGCCAGCTCCAGCTCCGGCGAGGTGCCAACGAACATGGTGTCCACAGGCTTATTTAGGCCCTGGTGTGTGAAGCGAACTTTCAGAACTTTGCCCTTCTGCAAAGTGAAGACAAAGAAATAGCAAAAGTCCTGTCAGCGGCATAGAAAATGTTGTTCCTTACCGTGCCGATGTCCTGCTCCTTCATGTAACCCTTGTAGTCGAAGCGACCGGCCTGCTCCTCCTCGTTGACATAGACCCAATTGTGGAAGCCGATGATGGTGCCGTTCTTTACCTCATGGACGAACACATGCTCGAATCCGGAACTGCCAATCTTGCCCTGACCCCGTGAATATTGTGTGAACCACAGCTCCTTGACCAGATCACGATGCGTTTTCGGATCGGGTGTCACTAAACCCTTCTGCTGCAGGAACAACATCGCTGCTCTCATAACACTGGTGGCCATGACTGCATCGAGGAACTCGTTCTCCTCCTTGCGCTCGTTTGCGGTCACATGCTCGTTGACCAGGGTATCCTGCTCATAGTTGTTGAACAGCAGCCGCATCTTGGCTATGGTCAGTGGCTCCAGGGCTTTGGCATTGACGCTCAAAAGACTGTCCAAAGAAAGGTCAAGGAAATTTGTGGAGCTTTCTGGAATGATTTCAGCTGAGCTGAGCTTCTACTTACGGCTGTGGCGCCTCATCGCCGCTATCAATGGAGCGCGTGCGTCCCTGCAAATTGACTGTGATCTGGCTCAGCTGACTGTTCGACTCCTTGTTGTAGAGCTGTTCGGTTAGTTGACGTATCTCATCGTCGGTTGCCACTGAGTTGCCCGAGGATTGGAAGCCCGGGCGCACGGTAGTTGTCGCGCCAGGTGTGTGCGGCACAAAGGAGACACCCGATGAGCCATGAGTAGAGGTGCCGCCAGCTGTGGTGGTGGTGCTGCTGCCACTGCCAGCTGGTGTTGTGGGCGTAACTCCAGGAGCTGGCTTGACAGCCGGCACAGCTGGATGCACTGGCGTGGGCAACGGCACCTGCCAGGCTGAAGGCGAGGTTGGCGTGCCGGGAGTTGGTGAACCTGGTGAACCTGGTGTGCGTGGCGTGGGCAACGCTGGAAAATCTTCCTTAATCGACGGACGCCGCGGCGCAGGCAAACTGGGGAACTCATCCCGATGCTGCTGGCCGGGCCTCACGGTGGTCGTCGTCGAGCCGCCAAAGCGCAAATCAATGTTGCCTGGCTGCACATTGGTGAGTGCTCGGGGCGTGGTTGTTGTTGTGGTTGTCGTAGTGGTGCTGCTGGTTAGCGGCGCCAGACCAAAGCCGGGATGCGGCGCCGGACCTCCACCGGCAGCGGCGCCACCGCCCGAATAGCTCAAATCAAAGCCGCTGGGCTGCGGCTTCTGTGGACGATATGGCGCAAAGCCCGGCGGCAAATTGGGAGCTGTCGAGGCACCTGCACCACCCAAACGGCCAGCTGGCAAGCTAGCCGGCGTTGTGCCACCCACATGATGCTGCTGCTGGTGTCCATTGGCATTGGCTGCGGGCCACTGTGGTCCGTGAGCGGACGGAGCACCGATGGGCGATGAGCTGGGCGTGTCGGGCCGTGGACCCAGCGGCATTAGCGGTGCATGCGAGATGACCAATGGCGGTGGCTTCTGGGCTGGCGTTACGGCCGCAGCAGATCTAGCGGTGCTCGTTGCGGGCCTCACTGTGGTCGTTGTCGTGGTCGTTTCACTGTTGCTGCTGCCGCCGCCAAAGAACTTCTTGAAGCCGCCAAACCAGCCGGACTTCTTGGTCGTCACCTCCACATCGGGCTCTGGAGTTATCTCGATCTCGCTCTTATAGCCAGCTGTGGATGGGACAAAGGCAGGTAAGTTCGCTATTAATGGCCCGCCTCTGGAGCCTCGGCGTTTACCTACCTGCAATTTGGCTCTGGCTGGCAATCACAGCGCAAACAAACAGCGCGCTCAATGCCAGGTAACGCATTTTGTTGCTGTTTCTGCTCTTTTTTTATGTTTTTTTTTTGTTTTTGTATTTCTTTGTTATTATTTTTATATTTTCGTTTACTTGCTGTTTGAGTTTTTATCACCTTGCTCGAACACAACCAACTGGTCAGAGATTCAGCGCACGACTGAGACCTAACACCAGAGACACGACTTCCAGCGGCTCGACGCTGCGAAACACTTACACACGGCCATCCGCCTCATCTCGGCTGTGTGCTTTGTTGCTTTTATTTTTTCCTTTCCGAATACCCTGTTATTATAGTGTGCAATTGCAAAAGGGTGTATTGGCCACATGGTTTCGTTTGCCTCCTGCTCTAATATCCCTGTTGTTTGCATCTGCAGCTGTATGTCTGTATGTTCATCTGTATGTCTGAGAGAGAGAGAGAGATAGATAGAGATAGATAGAGAAGAAAAAAGAATGAAGTTGAGAGAGGCCTATTTGCTCACTGTGTCGATCTTACTATATCTCTCTCTCTCTTTCTTTGTCTTTCTGTCTATGTGTTCTCTCTCTATCAGTCCGTCCGTATGTCATTTTCATGCTCTTGTTCCCTCTCTATTTTTCTCTCTGTTTGCTTCCTTTTCTCTCTACCTGGCTACCTGTATGTCCTTCTGTCCTTTTTTTTATTTTGTCGCTATCTCACTTATCTCTCTATCTGTTTTCTCCGTTCAAGTATCTCTCTCTCTACTCCCCCTCTCTTCCCTCTCTCTATCCTCGCTCTCTCACTCCCTCTCTCTCTGCGCGCTCTCTCCCTCCATCTCTCTCTTTCTCTCTCTTGTTTTCCCCCTTTGTCACTCTCCTCATTCTCCTTTTCCTCTCAGCTTTGCTCTACCAACTCCCTCTATGAGTCAACCCTTCTGTATGATCTACGGGGACTCTGCTCATCTGTCTAGACCTTCATAGCGTATCTGCTAGTCAGGCACTCTCAACTGTTGCACTCTTACTTATATTTCTGTTTGTATTAATGAGCTGATGTAGCTGCCGGCGCACAGCATTTAGCGTGGGCTTAGGTTGACGATCGCAACTGCGCTACCTAAATTAATTTAGGGCATTTCAGTTCAACTTTCCTGTACATAGGTTAAGACTGTACCTATCCCAAGTCCCTGAAGCCAAAAGCCCTTCAGCCATGATAGATCAGCTGAAAGCTACAGTTTTTGCCACTATAAAGCAAAAACAATATATAGAGAAATATATATGTATATATATTTGCCAATAAGGCTATAAAGCTGATTAGCGCTCTGCTCTATTTAAATATCGAAAACAGGTTTCAAGACCACATCGAAACCTGTAACTCTGAACGAACTCTGAGCGCGATTTAAGCACTGCCAATTCGTATGAATTTATAGAAAATGGATTAAAATTGAATATGAACATGAATTGTTCATAATACTAAGAACTGTGATATTATAACAGAAATCCAGCCTGAATCACCATACTTGATAGAGCTGGGCTGTATTGTGCATGGAATAACCGATTCTAACCGTTTCAATCTGTTAATATTTTTGACCGATTGCATTTTCATAAATAACCGATTCGGAGGGTTGTCATGTGATTCAAAAATACCCGATACGATCTTAAAAAATAACCGTTGCGAACCGATAATAACCGATTCGAACATTTTTCATATATGTAAATTATGTTTTTACTGCCAAAAAATTGACAGATGTGAGGTAGTGCAGCTATTATTATAACCGTTTCATGCCATTTGAGCTGCAGTGCATTGTGCAGTCGTTGTACTTGAACCTTTTTCGCTGTCTAAATTCATTTAAACTTGCGAGAGTTAAGAGGGTTGAGGGTTGTAGATTTTTTTTTTTTTTTTGAGAATGTGCCGCAATTATGTTATATGCAGAGCTTAATAGTGCGCTTTAATTGCAAACGGGGGAAAAATGCTGAAAAGCGAATATAGAATTTGTACATTTGATTTGATTGGATTTGATTTGATTTGATGACTTACATAAAATGCTAATAAACAAAATTCTGTCTCTTAAAGCTTAGCTAACATTTTAATTCCCCCTCTCTCACTCTCTCTCTCGCTATCTCTTTTGCACAATCGAGCCGTGCTCTTGGGGCATCGGGGCAAGTCGTGGGGGTAAGCGAACGACCCCAATTCCGTTTCGACTCGTCACAATTATAAATTGCACTCTCGATGTTTCTTCACGATTCAAAAAGCGAGGTATATTGATTAGGGAAAGCTTATCCCGATATCATTGATTATGAATGTCTTGAGGTTTGTGCGAAAATGAATTTAATAAAAATCTATTAATAGTAGACCTAAAGATAGAAAGCGTTCTATATCTGTATCTACCCATAGAGTACCCACGTATCCCTTCATATTACTCCCGCCATGGGTGTCCCCTAGTCGTGCTCATCCCATGAGATCACTTTTACTTCAATCTGTTTAAATGTTGTTTGCTTTGAGCTATTTCTAACAAATAACAAAAACTGAAAACTTGAAACTGTGGAACGCTTATCAATTTCAAATGGAAAAAAGGCCATTGGAAAAGGTTAAGCATTCATTATATGTATATTCTATATATATACATATACATATATATTAAAACATCTATATGGACACTCTCATTGTGTACACATCCGTTGGATAAGGTAATTGGATAGATAATGCCTGAGTGAATTTGAATAGTTTTGTATTTGGAAAGTATTCTCTATACACATTCCTTTCTCCTTCTTCTACTTTTCCTTTTCTTCAGCACTGTTTTATTCTCTTATTGGCTCGTCTCTTTGTTTGCCCCTTTCTTCTTGGCTTTCTTTTTCACTTTCCTTTGGGGTTTGCTTTACTTTTGCCTATTCGTTCGTCTCCTTCTATAATACTAATTTCCCACTTTCTCTTCCTACTCTGTCTTCCTCAGCCACTTTCTCCTTCTACTGCTTCTCTTTTGCCTCCTCATTGTCTTTTCTTTCTGCCTTTCTCATTCTCTTCTGCTGGTTCTCATATTTTACTCTTCTTTTACTCTTGGTGTTATCACGTCTTTCCACTTCTCTGAATTTTTCGTAAGTCTTAGAACCAGCTTGAAGAGGTTTTTAAATGTTGCATACATTTAGACTTGTATTTATTATCATATCTGATCTTATATGGTTGAATGCATGCATACATACTATATATATGTTTCCCACTCGGGAGCTTTACACCAGGAAAAAAATCTTATTCAAATACCCATTAATTTCCAAATGAATACCAAACAACATTTGGAATGTATTGTAATTTCTAAAAATTATTATTAGAAGGATCTTTCGCAGAATCAGTTTAGAAAAAAAAAAAAAAAAAAATCTGGAAGTGAAGCTTGTCAAACGCTTTTATGGATTAGCTTTCTGCGTATTGTCTCGTCCAAAGGGGGAATTGCTTCACGTGGTATTAGGAACGTAGACAAGTTGAACAGATCCAGGAATACTTTGTATCGATCGCTGAAAGTGAAACAAACAGACGATCAATGATCGAAGATCAGGTAACAGCCACCTGTGTTCACCCACCTGAGTGTGGAGCGTAGATATTGATAGCCGGATGAGCCGCCAGTGCCCAGCTGTTGGGATCCGATCATGCGTTGCACCATGATCACATGATTGTCTAGGCAAGAAAAGTAAAAGTGAAATGCGATCAACACAGAGAGAAAGAGACAGAGAATGAGAGTGTGAGTGCGAGTGAGCTGGCTTTCACTTACAGCGCCATTTCGTGATCAGCGAGTCAATGTCCATGAGCAGGGTCAACAGCTGATGGGGCTGGCTGAAGCGTGGCTCGTCCCTATAGAACGTGATCATGATGGCGCCCTGAAGCGCACGATGGCTAAAGCGACGATCACCGCGTTTCACCAGCGCATCGTGCACCGCCGGATCGAAAATGGAGCGATAGACCTCTCGTCTCTTCTCGATATCCATGAGGCGATAGTTTTTCGCCCGCTCCACCGGCTCCAGCATTGCGCTCTGCACTTGGGCGGCCAGAAACTGATCGACACTTTGCTGGAACTTGGCCCAAAAGTTGAAGCCATCCTCCTCCAGGCCCGGCGTCCGTTCCAGCCAACGCTGCACCAGCGTCAACAGCGACGGTGAATCCTCCGAGTCGCGTATGGCATGCAATGCCTTCTCATCCTTCCCGAACACATCCGTATATTTCTGATTATACTTCACACGCTGCTCGGTCAGCACGCCCAGCTTGTTCTCGATCAGCCGAAACTGCAGCGACTGAAAGCCAGAGGCGGGCGCCAAATACTTGCGAAAGTCCATGAAATCCAAAGGCGTCATTGTCTCCAATATGGGCACCTGATCGACCAGCAGCTGCCAGAAATCGAAACAGAGAATTGTAATGTAAATCGGTAACATCATAAGATCTGTGCGAAGCCAAATGGCAGTTGGAATTCATGGAAAGTGCTATAAGATGTATGAAAACAGTAATATATGGACAATATCATAAGAAAACCTATATATACAGCCAGAAAGTAGAAAATCATTATAGATCTATAAGAGTACTAAAGATTGTTAAGAAATACTAAAGCCGGAACAGAACATTTGTGCGAATTGTAATTTTATTTAAGAGGATTTTTATGCATTTTTTGGATCCCTATCTATATCCCTACTATAAGGGAAATATCATAAGATAGTAGGAGTAATTGTGGCTAGAAGGAAAAAGTTTGCTCTGATGATCTGCAAATATCAAATTTAAAAAAATGAAGTAGATTTATGTGAATTATAATATTCAAATTTTGAAAGCTGAAGAATTCAGATGGACCAATATGTTGGCTCCATATCGATATAGATCTATCTAGCTTGCCTTAAGATCGAAGCACAATATCTCAAGATCAATCATTCCAAAATCAATCTGATTACCAAGATTTAAGACTCTTTGATAAATGTGTAATTTAAGCAGCCGTTTGAGATGCCGCAGATGGCTACAGAAAATATTGCGATACATTTAGGGCTGCTACCTGATAGGTGTACAATTTGTAATATAGGGATAGCTGGCTGTTAATTATTTAATTAAAACGATATGATTACGTTTAACATCCCTATTGTATTCAAGAAGAGATTTGTTGCAAAGCTAAAGTGAAGCTCATTTTTGTATATGTATAAGATTTAATGCATGCATTCATCAATATAATAATTGAAAGATTGTTGTTAAGGATATATAATTAAGAACTGAATTAAGTTATGTACAAGATCTATGTGGAGATCGTATGTACTTAAGATTTGATCAACACTTCATGTATGGAAACAGCTTGAAATGATCAGTGATAGATCATCTCATGTATTGTATATCACTATATAAAGCTATGATCGCTTACCTTAAGTATGAGGACGACGCGATTTAGGCGTTTGACAATTTCCAGTGTTTTGGTCTCATCGATGACCTCGGCGTCGAGCATATCACGTATGGAATCGAACTCGAAAATGATTTGCTTAAACCACAGCTCATAGGCTGAAACAAGGCGCAAAGATAGAGAAACAAATAGTTTGCCAGAGTGAGAGAGGTATATATGGAGAGTGTGTGTGTGAGAGAGAGAGAGAGTTGTATTCACCCTGATGCGTTATAATGAAAAGATGTTCATCGTGCACCGGCCTCTTATCCTCCATGGAGAGCATGCACTGTGCGTCCAGCAGCTTGTCCAGCATCAGATATTCCCCATAGATCTTGCCCACCTCATTGGACAGCGGAATGGCGCCATCGTCGTGCTCGTTGCTGTGATTGAGCTCAGAGTGTGTGTGAGTGATGCTTGCTTCTAGTTGCCTATTCAACAACAATTTTGATGCTCACCCGTTGCTGGCATAGGGGCAGCTCATGATTGGACTACAAGTGGATCGATGCGACTCGCTGTACGTCGAGCGACAGACTAAATCGCCATCCAAATCAAATATATATATATCTACCCGATGTCCGTCTTAATCAACAAACAACAAGTTGGCAGTTCCAGCCCAGCGCACAGCTGCCAACTCTAGCTTGGCGTTGAGGCCTGATAGCCCTCATAAATACCCTGTAAATTGGGATTCGTATGTGAACACATTCATGATTTACATATTTACATTTGTTTTCGTTTATTGCACATAAATGAAACATGAAATATTACATTGATGACTATTATATATGAGTATGTATATTTTGTATACTTCATATAAATATAATACTAATCGATTATTATCGATACACCCTCATAAAAATGGTTACTATCTAAATTAAAGTATATATGTAATACATAACTTATCAATTGATCGAATGCATGTTCAAATCGATAATAATCGATCAATGTTGAGCCACAAAAATCGCATTATCGACTGAAGTTAAAAATGATATATAGGTTAACATATAATAGTGAGATATAAAAAGTCGATAGCTACTGACAAAATATTGAAATCGATAACATTTGCATAATGATAATAGCAAACAATATCTGCCTGCAAATAAGGAATCTAATAAAAATTAATCGAATGAATGTAAAATAAATTATACATTGTGTATCAAACTATAATAAATCGATGCATATAGAAATATAAAAAAAATCGATAAATCAAGGGATATAACAAATCGATAAACAGAACAGAAAACAGAAAAATGGTCAACTAAGCATTTGAACGATGTAGAGCAGAGCTAGAGGAAGTTCAGCTACAGGATAATTGTAGGTCGCATACACCTCTCTATCCTTATCTGGCGCTCTGCGGCTTATCAATGAAGGGTTCGAAGAAGCTAAAACTAAATTAAACTTTCTCATACTCTCCCATATTGAATACGTCAATGTACAAAATGAAAACAACAATATGGTTTTGTTTTGTTGTTTTTTTTTGTGTTTAAAATTTATTTTTGAGTCCTTGGCTCAGTCATATTTTTAAATTTCTTCTCTTTTTCTCTTGTGTTCGTGTTATATAGTTTAATGTAATACTATTCATATATATATATGTGTGTGTATATATGAAAACATACATATAT